CCCTGCGCCACCGGAGCCCGGGAGGGGAAGTGCCGGGCCGGCGGCTGGGGTCCGGAGGCAAGGGGGCTGCCTGAAGCCCATAGCTCGGGCAGCTCGGCTCTTAAACAAAGCCGAAGAGTCAGGGGAGGGGCAGAGCAGCCACGGGAGGGGAAGTGCCTGGCCGGCATTTTCCCAGACATGTTCGGCTTTTTGGCAATTCCCCCCGGACGGGGGTTTGATTGCCGAAAAGCCGGACATATCCAGGAAAAACCGGACGTATGGTAACCCTAGATAAAGATAGAAATGGCTGGTCACCTAATTATCCTTGGAATGTGCAATTGCAGGATCAGTGTCTGCAAATGGAGAACTTGCACACACTGTCATGGAAGCATTGTTGCATATGCATATTATGTGCACATATCTGGGCTAAATACTTGAGTTTTTAGCCTAGTACATATGTTAGATTGAAGTGATTACATACTTTTCAAGGAAATAAAGGACAGGTTAATAGAAAAATACAGGATAAAACTTGTTTTTACAGGACAGCACTTCACAATATTGTATTCATGGACCAAAAATCATATATTAGTATAATATTGTGTGACCCCTTTACATTATTATTACTTTAAAACATGCTTTTTATCTTATCAGATGCTTCTTAGTAATTCTCCTGAATTTACAATAACTCAGATAGCATGTTACCATTAGAAGTTTTAACTACCCAGAGAACGCTATGTCCATGACAGATACAATGAAATCTGAATGAGTATAAATATTTTAATTTATTTTCAACTCTAAAAATTAATCTCATTCATTCCTCCTACAACCACTTTTCTGTCACTACTGTACTACTTCATTTATACCTTATGCATAGTACACAGATATGCATTTATTGCAGGTAAATGATCATCTCCCTCTTTTTAACCCCCTTTCAAAGTTACTTGCTCACTGCTCAGATCAATCAAAAGGCTTTGTATCTCTCTTTTTGTATCTCCTCCTAGGAAAGGTAGTAGTCCTCTGACTCCTTTTGTCATGGCTTTCAGGATCCATTCTCCTTTTCTTTTTGTCAGATGTGCTCAGGGAAAAAATGCATTACACAAAAAGCCTATTATTAACCATAGTATTTCTCTAATAGTCTTATGCATCCTAAAGGATCTTCTCACATAGCAAAGTCAGTGAGATCTGTCATAAAAATAAAGCCAAATATATGTATTTTTCATTTTGGAGACATTCTAAAAAGCCTCACCACCTTTACTTATCAGGCTTAAAAAAAGTTATAAAAATTAACTTCTTAACAGCACATCTGACCTGGCTACGTAAGGGCTTGTCTATACTCTATAGATTTTAAAAGGTTCAGGAACAGTGTTGTGGTTTGAACCACTTCTTATTTGATAAGAACTAACTGACCATCTGTAGTGTTCACGTCCCATGAATAATTTAGGCAAAAATGGGCATTGAAGGACAGTGAAGCCTGAGGACTAATTGACTGAACCCACTTACCTGGAAACAGGCAGATGGACTCTAAGCTAATAATTATGTGCTTAAGAAAAAGTACCATGGAATTGTTAATGAACATACGTCAGAATATGGGCTTTACGTCTCTTCCAAAAATAAATAAATAAATAGGACACTCACTATTGCACCCTACCAATAATCACATAGTGTTAGGGCATTGTTTGAGAATTCCTTCGGGGCAAAGAGGGACATCTACTGAATGTCTTATAGCTTCTGCGTTTTTCCCTAGAGGTCTCCTATCAAACTAATGACCACCTTGGGCCCTGCTTAGCTAGTTAGACATGATGAGATGATATTCCAAGGCTCTCCATATAAACACAGTATATACACATACATCTGTAGATTTATTGCTTACGATGGGCCTGAGATACTGGGCTTGTCAGAGTTCCCAACACAGGGCACAATGGCTGTCTTACCACTTTGTTGAAAAGCTGAGCCTTCAAATTTTTCCTGAGCTGGCATGGAGCAACATTATCTGGATTTGAACACCCTTTGGTAGCTCATAAAATAACTGAAGATGACAGGTCTCCCTCCATCATCACTGTCTCTTCAATCATAGCAACAATTGCAGAGCTCTTGTGAAGTGGTTATTAAACTCTAGCTTTGAGAGCCTGTCCTCTGCATTTACACCAGGATTGCTACATAGAGACTCCTGAAATCATGATCAAGGGAAGATATAAAAACCAGAGAAAAGTGTCACATTGATTTCTGAAAGTAAAAGAGTAGACCTTTTCGAAAATTATACATTCCTACCTCTTTTTTATCCTCAAGAGAAACTATCACTGGGGAATGAGCATGCTAAAATCAAATCAAATCTTTTTTTTTCTTTTGGATACTATTAACTGAGAACATTGTGATTGGTTTTTTTCTTCTCTTGTTATAAAATGGGTTTGCACTTTTAGGAAATTAAGGTAGAATATAAAGATTTATCTTAAGTCAGTGTAAATCTTCAAAACAAAACTACTACCACAGAAGACAGATCCTCAGGAAGAGATACCAATAGCAGCAATGAGAAGAAGGCAAACCAAAAACACTGTCACCTTGTGGTAATACACATAACATAGCCCTAGAACAGTTATGTCTCCATGATACAGAAACTATTACTGCATATACAGTCTACTTGTATTTTAATATACACATTACATATACAGGACTATTGACCCACTTGATCTCCCCCTAGTTAAAATTTTCCAACTTGGTATGGCCAACTACACCTTCCAGGACCCTGCCAAAACCTCAAACAATAGGACTATACACCTATTGAATCTAGTGGAGGTCATCCCAAGGGGAGATATATATAGTAATCTCAATAGATGTAGAAAGAAAACTCATTATAAATACCTATAGCAGTGATTCTCAACTTTTTTCATACCATGTTATAACAGACATTTTTTTTAGTAACCCTCCTCCCATAAGTTTCAGCAGCCTCTCCCATCTCACCATTCAGAAAGTGAGGGTGATAGCAACTCTCTGTGATTTAAGGCCAAATTCTGAAATCCTTACACAGTTTTCATTTAAGTCTTACTTGGACAAACTCCTATTCAAGTCAGTGGGAAGTCTCTTTCTGTATCCAATCCAGTCAGTATTCCTGATGCTGCTGGGAAATCACACAACTGGTTACCATCAAGAAGGTAGCTCTGTTCTAGCCTAGCCCAGTTCTCAGCTTGTGTAGGTAAAGGGATGCCTCATCACATTAGCTTCACTACAGCAGCTCTCTCTTCACCACCTCAGTTCTTCAAACCTTAGCTAGCCATTTCTCTGCTAGATTGTGTTGGGACTCTTTTCTTGTTTCCTCTTCTCTCCTGCACCATCTCCAGAAGCAGCAGGACCCCTGCTAACCAACC